TGACCCCTCCCCCATCCCTGACCCCTCACCTGTCCATGTCTCACCTGTCCCAGGTACGAGGAGCTGTCCAACCTGATCCGCTCCATCCGGAACGCAATGAAGATCCTGGGGCTGTCCCTGGGACCCCAAACCTGTCCCTGTGACCCCTCCCCCACCTCACCTGTCCCATGTCTCACCTGTCTCACCTGTCCCAGGTACGAGGAGCTGTCCAACCTGATCCGCTCCATCCGGAACGCGATGAAGATCCTGGGGCTGTCCCTGTGACCCCAAACCTGTCCCTGTGACCCCAAACCTGTCCCTGTGACCCCAATAACCTGTCATTGACCCCAATAACCTGTCATTGACCCCTCACCTGTCCCATCTCACCTGTACAGGTACGAGGAGCTGTCCAACCTGATCCGCTCGATCCGGAACGCGATGAAGATCCTGGGGCTGTCCCTGGGACCCCAATAACCTGTCCCTGTGACCCCAATAACCTGTCATTGACCCCAATAACCTGTCATTGACCCCAATAACCTGTCATTGACTCCTCACCTGTCCCATCTCACCTGTCCCACCTGTCCCAGGTACGAGGAGCTGTCCAACCTGATCCGCTCCATCCGGAACGCGATGAAGATCCTGGGGCTGTCCCTGGGACCCCAAACCTGTCCCTGTGACCCCAAACCTGTCCCTGTGACCCCTCCCCCACCTCACCTGTCCCATCTCACCTGTCCAGGTACGAGGAGCTGTCCAACCTGATCCGCTCCATCCGGAACGCGATGAAGATCCTGGGGCTGTCCCTGGGACCCCAAACCTGTCCCTGTGACCCCAAACCTGTCCCTGTGACCCCAAACCTGTCCCTGTGACCCCTGTCCTGTCTCACCTGTCCCTGTCTCACCTGTCTCACCTGTCCCAGGTACGAGGAGCTGTCCAACCTGATCCGCTCCATCCGGAACGCGATGAAGATCCTGGGGCTGTCCCTGTGACCCCAAACCTGTCCCTGTGACCCCAATAACCTATCCCATCTCACCTGTCCTGTCTCACCTGTCCATGTCTCACCTGTCTCACCTGTACAGGTATGAGGAGCTGTCCAACCTGATCCGCTCCATCCGGAACGCGATGAAGATCCTGGGGCTGTCCCTGGGACCCCAAACCTGTCCCTGTGACCCCAAACCTGTCCCTGTGACCCCAAACCTGTCCCTGTGACCCCAATAACCTATCCCTGACCCCTCACCTGTCCATGTCTCACCTGTCCCAGGTACGAGGAGCTGTCCAACCTGATCCGCTCCATCCGGAACGCGATGAAGATCCTGGGGCTGTCCCTGTGACCCCAAACCTGTCCCTGTGACCCCTGTCCTGTCCCTGTGACCCCTCCCCCCATCCCTGACCCCTCACCTGTCCCATCTCACCTGTCCCAGGTACGAGGAGCTGTCCAACCTGATCCGCTCGATCCGGAACGCGATGAAGATCCTGGGGCTGTCCTTGGGACCCCAAACCTGTCCCTGTGACCCCAAACCTGTCCCTGTGACCCCAATAACCTGTCGCTGTGACCCCAAACCTGTCCCTGTGACCCCAATAACCTGTCATTGACCCCTCACCTGTCCCATCTCACCTGTACAGGTACGAGGAGCTGTCCAACCTGATCCGCTCGATCCGGAACGCGATGAAGATCCTGGGGCTGTCCCTGTGACCCCAAACCTGTCCCTGTGACCCCTCCCCCCCCTCACCTGTCCCATCTCACCTGTCCCAGGTACGAGGAGCTGTCCAACCTGATCCGCTCCATCCGGAACGCGATGAAGATCCTGGGGCTGTCCTTGGGACCCCAAACCTGTCCCTGTGACCCCAAACCTGTCCCTGGGACCCCTGTCCTGTCTCACCTGTCCCTGTCTCACCTGTCTCACCTGTCCATGTCTCACCTGTCTCACCTGTCCCAGGTACGAGGAGCTGTCCAACCTGATCCGCTCCATCCGGAACGCGATGAAGATCCTGGGGCTGTCCCTGTGACCCCAAACCTGTCCCTGTGACCCCAAACCTGTCCCTGTGACCCCAATAACCTATCCCATCTCACCTGTCCATGTCTCACCTGTCCCACCTGTCCCAGGTACGAGGAGCTGTCCAACCTGATCCGCTCCATCCGGAACGCGATGAAGATCCTGGGGCTGTCCCTGGGACCCCAGACCTGTCCCTGGGACCCCAAACCTGTCCCTGGGACCCCTCCCCCACCTCACCTGTCCCATCTCACCTGTCCCAGGTACGAGGAGCTGTCCAACCTGATCCGCTCCATCCGGAACGCGATGAAGATCCTGGGGCTGTCCCTGGGACCCCAAACCTGTCCCTGGGACCCCAAACCTGTCCCTGTGACCCCAATAACCTATCCCTGACCCCTCACCTGTCCCTTCTCACCTGTCCAGGTACGAGGAGCTGTCCAACCTGATCCGGTCGATCCGGAACGCGATGAAGATCCGCGACGTCTCGCGCTGCCTCGAGGAGTTCGAGCTGCTGGGCCGGGCCTGGGCCAAGGCCAAGGGGGTGGTGGACAGGGAGGGCACCCCCAGGTTCTACCTGAGGATCCTGGCCGACCTGGAGGACTACCTGAACGAGGTACCCGCCCACCTGGGGGGTCCAGGAACTCACCTGGGGGGTTTAGGGAAGATTTGGGGGGATTTGAGGTGATTTTGGGGTGATTTGAGGTGATTTTGGGTCAGAAAAAGGGGATTGTTGGGTTGGTTTTGCTCCCCTGGACTCATCTGGGCAGGTGGGGTCTCACCTGGGGGGGTTTGGGAAAAGATTTGGGGTGATTTGAGGTGATTTGGGGGTGATCTGAGGTCGTTTTGGGGTGATTTGAGGTGGGTTTGGGACCCTGGGGTGGACAGGGAGGGCACCCCCAGGTTCTACCTGAGGATCCTGGCGGACCTGGAGGACTACCTGAACGAGGTACCCGCTCACCTGGGCTCACCTGGGGGGGGTTTGGGGGGATTTGAGGTCATTTTGGGTGATTTTGGGATGATTTGAGGTGATTTTGGGGTGATTTGAGGTCATTTTGGGGTGATTTGAGGTGGTTTCGGGGCATTAAAGTGGAGTTAATTGGTTGGTTTTGGTCACCTGGAGTCACCTGGGCAGGTTCCTGAACCAGGTGGGGTCTCACCTGTGGGTCCAGGAACTCACCTGGGGGGTTTAGGGAAGATTTGGGGTGATTTGAGATGATTCTGGGATGATTTTGGGGTGATTTGAGGTCGTTTTGGGGTGATTTGAGGTGATTTTGGGGTGATTTGAGGCGATTTTGGGTCAGAAAAAGGGGATTGTTGGGTTGGTTTTGCTCCCCTGGACTCATCTGGGCAGGTGGGGTCTCACCTGGGGGGGTTTGGGAAAAGATTTGGGGTGATTTGAGGTGATTTTGGGGTGATCTGAGGTCGTTTTGGGGTGATTTGAGGTGGGTTTGGGACCCTGGGGTGGACAGGGAGGGCACCCCCAGGTTCTACCTGAGGATCCTGGCGAACCTGGAGGACTACCTGAACGAGGTACCCGCCCACCTGGGCTCACCTGGGGGGGATTTGGGGGGATTTGAGGTCATTTTGGGTGATTTTGGGGTGATTTGAGGTGGTTTCGGGGCATTAAAGTGGAGTTAATTGGTTGGTTTTGCTCCCCTGGACTCACCTGGGCAGGTTCCTGAACCAGGTGGGGTCTCACCTGGAGGTCCAGGAACTCACCTGGGGGGGTTGGGGGGGATTTGGGGTGATTTGAGGTGATTTGGGGGTGATTTGAGGTCATTTTGGGGTGATTTGGGGTGGTTTTGGGGCATTACAGTGGAGTTAATTGGTTGGTTTTGCTCCCCTGGACTCACCTGGGCAGGTTCCTGAGCCAGGTGGGGTCTCACCTGGGGGGTCCAGGAACTCACCTGGAGGGGTTCAGGGAAGATTTGGGGGGATTTGAGATGATTCTGGGATGATTTTGGGGGGATTTGAGGTGATTTTGGGGTGATTTGAGGTGATTTTGGGGTGATTTGAGGTGATTTTGGGTCAGAAAAAGGGGATTATTTGGTTGTTTTTGGTCACCTGGAGTCACCTGGGCAGGTACCTGAGCCAGGTGGGGTCTCACCTGGAAGATTTGGGGAGATTTGAGATGGTTTTGGAGTGATTTGAGGTGAGTTTTGGTCCATTTTTTGACCATTTTTCGCCATTTTTTGGCCATTTTTTCACCGTTTTTTGCCCGTTTTCGGCCGTTTTTGCGCCGTTTTTTGGGGTTTTTTTAGGAAATTTTTGAATTTCACCTTTTTTTGGTGTTTTTAGTTATGGGAGGACAAGGAGGGGAAGAAAAAGATGAACAAGAACAACCCCAAAACCCTGAATTCCCTCCTTTTTTACCCATTTTTTGCCTGTTTTTCGCTATTTTTTGCCCATTTTTTGCCCGTTTTTGGCCATTTTTGCACCGTTTTTTTGGGTATTTTTTTAGCAATTCTTGAATTTCACATTTTTTTCACATTTTTAGTTATGGGAGGACAAGGAGGGGAAGAAGAAGATGAACAAGAACAACCCCAAAGCGCTGAATTCCTTCCTTTTTTCACCGTTTTTTGGCCATTTTTTCACCATTTTTCACCCGTTTTTGGCCATTTTTGCGCCGTTTTTTTGGTTTTTTTCGGGGAATTTTTGAATTTCACTTTTTTTTGATATTTTTAGCTGTGGGAGGACAAAGAAGGGAAGAAGAAGACGAACAAGAACAATGCCAAGGCCCTGAGTTTTGGGTCATTTTTGACCGTTTTTGCCATTTTTTGCCATTTTTCGCCTGCTTTTGGCCATTTTTGCGCCGTTTTTTGGGTATTTTTTAGCAATTCTTGAATTTCACATTTTTTTCACATTTTTAGTTATGGGAGGACAAGGAGGGGAAGAAGAAGATGAACAAGAACAACCCCAAACCCCTGAATTCCTTCCTTTTTTCACCGTTTTTTGCCATTTTTCACCCATTTTTAACCCTTTTTTGGCCGTTTTTGCGCCATTTTTTGGGGGGTTTTTTCAGGGAATTTTTGAATTTCACTTTTTTTTGATATTTTTAGCTGTGGGAGGACAAAGAAGGGAAGAAGAAGACGAACAAGAACAATGCCAAGGCCCTGAGTTTTGGGTCATTTTTTGACCGTTTTTTGCCATTTTTGTTGCCATTTTTTGCCCGTTTTTGGCCATTTTTGCACCGTTTTTTTGGGTATTTTTTTAGCAATTTTTGAATTTCACCTTTTTTTCACATTTTTAGTTATGGGAGGACAAGGAGGGCAAGAAGAAGATGAACAAGAACAACCCCAAAGCGCTGAATTCCTTCCTTTTTTCACCGTTTTTTGGCCATTTTTTCACCATTTTTCACCCGTTTTTGGCCATTTTTGCGCCGTTTTTTTGGTTTTTTTCAGGGAATTTTTGAATTTCACTTTTTTTTGATATTTTTAGCTGTGGGAGGACAAAGAAGGGAAGAAGAAGACGAACAAGAACAATGCCAAGGCCCTGAGTTTTGGGTCATTTTTTGACCGTTTTTGCCATTTTTTTGCCATTTTTCGCCCGTTTTTGGCCATTTTTGCGCCGTTTTTTTGGGTATTTTTTTAGCAATTCTTGAATTTCACATTTTTTTCACATTTTTAGTTATGGGAGGACAAGGAGGGGAAGAAGAAGATGAACAAGAACAACCCCAAACCCCTGAATTCCTTCCTTTTTTCACCGTTTTTTGCCATTTTTCACTCATTTTTAAGCCTTTTTTGGCCGTTTTTGCGCCGTTTTTTGGGGGGTTTTTTCAGGGAATTCTTGAATTTCACTTTTTTTTGATATTTTTAGCTGTGGGAGGACAAAGAAGGGAAGAAGAAGACGAACAAGAACAATGCCAAGGCCCTGAGTTTTGGGTCATTTTTTGCCCGTTTTTTGCCATTTTTTTGCCATTTTTTGCCCGTTTTTGGCCGTTTTTGTGCCGTTTTTTGGGTTTTTTTCAAGGAATTTTTAAATTTCACATTTTTTTCCTATTTTTAGTTATGGGAGAACAAGGAGGGGAAGAAGAAGATGAACAAGAACAACCCCAAACCCCTGAATTCCTTCCTTTTTTCACCGTTTTTTGCCATTTTTCACTCATTTTTAAGCCTTTTTTGGCCGTTTTTGCGCCGTTTTTTTGGGGTTTTTTTCAGGGAATTCTTGAATTTCACTTTTTTTTGATATTTTTAGCTGTGGGAGGACAAAGAAGGAAGAAGAAGACGAACAAGAACAATGCCAAGGCCCTGAGTTTTGGGTCATTTTTGACCCGTTTTTGCCATTTTTTGCCATTTTTTGCCCGTTTTTGGCCGTTTTTGTGCCGTTTTTTGGGTTTTTTTCAAGGAATTTTTAAATTTCACATTTTTTTCCTATTTTTAGTTATGGGAGGACAAGGAGGGGAAGAAGAAGATGAACAAGAACAACCCCAAAGCGCTGAATTCCTTCCTTTTTTCACCGTTTTTTGGCCATTTTTTCACCATTTTTCACCCGTTTTTGGCCATTTTTGCGCCGTTTTTTTGGTTTTTTTCAGGGAATTTTTGAATTTCACTTTTTTTTGATATTTTTAGCTGTGGGAGGACAAAGAAGGGAAGAAGAAGACGAACAAGAACAATGCCAAGGCCCTGAGTTTTGGGTCATTTTTTGACCGTTTTTTGCCATTTTTTTGCCATTTTTCGCCCGTTTTTGGCCATTTTTGCACCGTTTTTTTGGGTATTTTTTTAGCAATTCTTGAATTTCACATTTTTTTCACATTTTTAGTTATGGGAGGACAAGGAGGGGAAGAAGAAGATGAACAAGAACAACCCCAAACCCCTGAATTCCTTCCTTTTTTCACCGTTTTTTGGCCATTTTTTCACCATTTTTCACCCGTTTTTGGCCGTTTTTGTGTTGTTTTTTGGGTTTTTTTCGGGGAATTTTTGAATTTCACATTTATTTCACATTTTTAGCTGTAGGAGGACAAAGAAGGGAAGAAGAAGATGAACAAGAACAACGCCAAACCCCTGAGTTTTGGGCCATTTTTTGCCATTTTTTGACCATTTTTCACCGTTTTTCACCCGTTTTTGGCCGTTTTTGCTCCATTTTTTGGGTTTCTTTCGGGGAATTTTTGAATTTCACATTTTTTTGGTGTTTTCAGTTATGGGAGGACAAGGAGGGGAAGAAAAAGATGAACAAGAACAACGCCAAAACCCTGAGTTTTGGGCCATTTTTTGCCATTTTTTCACCGTTTTTCACCCGTTTTTGGCCGTTTTTGCGCCGTTTTTTGGGGGTTTTTCAAGGAATTTTTAAATTTCACATTTTTTTGGTGTTTTCAGTTATGGGAGGACAAGGAGGGGAAGAAGAAGATGAACAAGAACAACGCCAAGGCCCTGAGCTCCCTCCGGCAGAAGCTCCGCAAATACAACCGAGACTACGAGGCCCAGATCGCCGCCTACCGACAGGTGGGGCGCTAATTAGGGCTAATTAGGGGCTAATTAGGGGGTCATTTGGTTGGGAGGGGGTTAAAATGAGATTTAATGGGGTTAAAATGGGATTTAACGGGGTTAGAATGGGGTTTGATGGGGTTAAAATGGGGTTAAAATGAGATTTAATGGGGTTAAAATGGGGTTAAAATGGGATTTAATGGGGTTAAAATGGGGTTTAATGGGGTTAAAATGGGGTTAAAATGGGATTTAATGGGGCTAAAATGGGGTTAAAATGGGGTTTAATGGGGTTAAAATGGGGTTAAAATGGGGTTTAATGGGGTTAAAATGGGGTTAAAATGGGGTTAAAATGGGATTTAATGGGGTTAAAATGGGATTTAATGGGGTTAGAATGGGGTTTGATGGGGTTAAAATGGGGTTAAAATGGGATTTAATGGGGTTAAAATGGGGTTAGAATGGGGTTTGATGGGGTTAAAATGGGGTTAAAATGGGATTTAATGGGGTTAAAATGGGATTTATTGGGGTTATAATGGGGTTAAAAGGGGATTTAATGGGGTTAAAATGGGATTTATTGGGGTTAAAATGGGATTTACTGGGGTTAATTTGGGGTTAAAATGGGATTTATTTGGGTTAAAATGGGGTTTAATGGGGCTAAAATGGGATTTATGGGAATTTATTGGGGTTAAAATGGGATTTAGTGGGGTTAAAATGGGATTTACTGGGGTTAATTTGGGGTTAAAATGGGATTTAATGGGGCTAAAATGGGATTTCCTGGGGTTAAAATGGGGTTCAATGGGACTTTTGGGAGGGTAAAGGGGTCTAAAATGGGATTTTTGGATTTTTCTGGGGTTAAAATGGCTGCTTTTGGGGTCTTTTTGATTCAGGGGCTGATTTTGGGGTCATTTTTGGGGCAGTTTGGGGTCATTTTTGGGGTCATTTTTTTTGCAGAACCCGGAGCAGTCGGACGAGGACGAGGAGAAAAGCAGGAGGGACTCCGAAGGTTTGGGGGGATTTTGGGGGCATTTTGGGGGATTTTGGGACAATTTGGGGGGTTTGGGGTCATTTTGGGGGTTTTGGGCTCATTTCAGGGTCTTTTGAGGTCATTTTGGACTCATTTTGGGTGGTTTTGGGGTCATTTCGAGGTCATTTCGGGGTTTGGGGTCATTTGGGGCTCATTTTGGGTTCATTTCAGGGGTTTTGGGGTCATTTTGGGCTCATTTTGGGTTCATTTTGGGTGGTTTTGGGGTCATTTCGAGGTCATTTCGGGGGGTTTGGGGTCATTTGGGGCTCATTTTGGGTGGTTTTGGGCTCATTTTGAGCTCATTTTGGGGTGTTTTGGGCTCATTTCAGGTTGTTTTGGGTTCATTTAGGGCTCATTTTGGGGGTTTTGGGCTCATTTTGAGGTCATTTTGGGGTGTTTTGGGCTCATTTTGGGTGGTTTTGGGCTCATTTTGGGTGGTTTTGGGCTCATTTTGGCCTCATTTTGGGGCGTTTCGGGCTCGTTTCGAGAGTTTTTTGGGGTGGTTTTGGGGTAAATTGTGGTGTTTTACATCCCTTTGGGTTGGTTTTGGGGTTTTGGGGCTGATTTTGGGGTGTTTTTGGTGTCCCCTGCAGGTTCTGCCTCCTCTTCGGGGGCCGAGGACGAGCCCGGGACGTTCCTGAAGCGCCGGGACCGCGACGAGACCCGGGGGAGGTTCAAGGTGGGGACTTTTCGGGGGGGTTTTGGGGTGATTTTTGGTGTTTTTAGGATGATTTTTGGAAATTTAGGGTGATTTTTGGTGGTTTTGAGGTGATTTTTTTGTGGTTTTAGGGTGATTTTGGGGGTTTTGAGGTGATTTTTGATGGTTTTGAGGTGATTTTTGGTGGTTTTAAGGTGATTTTTGGTGTTTTTAGGTGATTTTTGGTGGTTTTAGGGTGATTTTTGGTGGGTTTAGGGTGATTTTGGGGGGTTTGAGGTGATTTTTGGGATTTTGGGGTGATTTTTGGGTTGTTTTGGGTGTTTTTGGGCTGTCCCATCAATAAATTTGTGTTCCAGGAGGAGGAGTCGGGGTCGGAGTCGGAGCCTGACGAGGATTGGGGGTCCCTGGGGGTTTTGGGTGATTTTTGGTGTTTTTGAGGTGTGATTTGAGGTGATTTTGAGGTGATTTTAGGTATTTGAGGGTGATTTTTGGGTTTAGGGTGATTTTGGGGTGATTTTTTGTGAATTTTAGGTTGTTTGGGTGTTTTTGTGGCTGTCCTGGGTGATTTTGGTGGGTTTAGGGTGATTTTGGGGGTTTGAGGTGATTTTAGATTTGGGGTGATTTTTGGGTTGTTTTGGTTTTTGGGCTGTCCATCAATAAATTTGTGTTCCAGGAGGAGTCGGGTCGGGTTGATCTGACGAGGATGAGTCTGGGGTTTTGGTGATTTTGATCTGAGGTGATTTTGGGTGTTTAGGTGATTTTGGGTGTTTTGGTGATTTTGGGTTTTAGGTGATTGGGGTGATTTTTGTTGGTGTTTGGGTGTTTTGACTGTCCCATCAATAAATTTGTGTTCCAGGAGGAGTCGGGCTCGAGTCGGAGCCTGACGAGGATTGGGGGTCCCTGGGGTTTTGAGGTGATATTTGTGTTTTTAGGTGATTTTGGGTGATTTTTTGAATTTTGGGTTTGTTTTGGTGTTTTGGGGTGCCCCATCAGTAAATTTGTGTTCCAGGAGGAGGAGTCTGGCTCGGAGTCGGAGTCAGATGAGGATTGGGGGGTCCCTGGGGGGGTTTTGGGGTGATTTTTGGGTGGTTTTGAGGTGATTTTTGGGTGTTTTTGGGGTGATTTTTTGGGTTTTAGGGTGATTTTGGGGTGATTTTTTGGAATTTTGGGTTGTTTTGGGTGTTTTTGGGGTGCCCCATCAGTAAATTTGTGTTCCAGGAGGAGGAGTCTGGCTCGGAGTCGGAGTCAGATGAGGATTGGGGGGTCCCTGGGGAGTTATTGGGGGTTTTTAGGGGGGATTTTGGGGGTTTTTGGGGTGATTTTTTTGAATTTTGGGTTGTTTTGGGTGTTTTTGGGGTGTCCCATGGGTAAATTTGTGTTCCAGGAGGAGGAGTCTGGCTCGGAGTCGGAGTCAGATGAGGATTGGGGCGACGACTCCTCGGAGTCGGACTCGGAGTCGGACGAGGACGACGGGAAATTCACCTCCCTGGCCTCCAAATTCCTCAAAAAGTGAGGGGGATTTGGGGGGAATTTGGGGGATTTCTGGGATTTCTGGGATCTGGGGGATTTCTGGGATCTGGGGGGCGGGATTTGTGGGATTTCTGGTTTTTTTGGGATTTCTGGGATTCCCAGGATCCGTGATTTAGGGACGAGGAGCGGCGCGGGGGATTTCTGGGATTTTGGGGATTTTTGGGGTGGGATTTTGGGATTTTTGGGGATTTTTGGGATTTCTGGGGCAGAATCCAGGGGATTTTGGGGATTTTTGGGTGTAATTTTGGGATTTTTTGGAATTTTTGGGATTTTTGGGATTTTTGGGGTGGGATTTTTGTGGATTTTTGGGGTGGGATTTTTGGAATTTCTGGCATTTTTGGGCTGTGATTTTTGGAATTCTTGGGATTTTTGGAGTGGGATTTTTGGATTTTTTAGGGTGGGATTTTTGTGGATTTTTGGGGTGGGATTTTTGTGGATTTTTGGGGGGTGATTTTTGGAATTCCTGGGATTTTTGGGGTGGGATTTTTGGGATTTTTTGGGATTTTTGGGGTGGGATTTTTGTGATTTTTTCGGATATTTGGGGTGGGATTTTTGGGGTGGAATTTTTGGATTTTTTGGGATTTTTGGGATTTCTGGGGTGGGATTTTGGATTTTTTGGGATTTCTGGGATTTCTGGGGTGGGATTTTGGGATTCTTTAGGATTTTTGGGATTTCTGGGGTGGAATTTTGGATTTTTTTGGATTTTTGGGATTTCTGGGATTTCTAAATCCCCAATTTAGGGACGAGGAACGCAGCGGAGCCGAGAGGAGATTTCTGGGGCAGAATCCATGGATTTTGGGGATTTTTTGGGGCAGAATCCGTGGATTTTTGGGGATTTTTAGGATGGGATTTTTGGGATTTCTGGGGTGGGATTTTGGGGTGGGATTTTGTGATTTTTAAATCCCTAATTTAGGGACGAGGAGCAGCGTAGACGAGAGGAGATTTCTGAGGATTTCTGGGATTTTTGGGGTGGGATTTTTGGGGATTTTGGGGATTTTTAGGATGGGATTTTTGGGGATTTCTGGGATCCACGGATTTCTGAGATTTTTGGGACGGATTTTGGAATTTCTGGGATTTTGGAGTGCATTTTGGGGATTTTGGGATTTCTGGGGTGTAATTCTGGGATTTTTGGGATTTTTGGGATTTCTGAGGTGGGATTTTTGAATTTCTGGGATTTTTGGGATTTTTGATTGGGATTTCTGGGATTTTTGGGATTTCTGGCATTTCTAAATCCCCAATTTAGGGACGAGGAGCGGCGCGGGGCCGAGAGGAGATTTCTGGGGTAGAATCCATGGATTTTGGGGATTTTTTGGGGCAGAATCCATGGGATTTTGGGGATTTTTGGATTTTGGGACGGGATTTTTGGGATTTCTGGGATTTTGGGATTTCTGGGATTTCTGGGTGGGATTTTGGGATTTTTAGGATTTTGGGATTTCTGGGGTGGAATTTTGGATTTTCTGGGATTTTTAGGATTTCTGGGATTTCTGGGGTGGGATTTTGGGATTTTTAGGATTTTGGGATTTCTGGGGTGGAATTTTGGATTTTTTGGGATTTTTGGGATTTCTGGGATTTCTGGGTGGAATTTTGGGATTTTTTAGGATTTTTGGGATTTCTGGGGTGGAATTTTGGATTTTTTGGGATTTTTGGGATTTCTGGGATTTCTGGGGTGGGATTTTAGGATTTTTGGGATTTCTGGGGTGGAATTTTGGATTTTTTGGATTTTTGGGATTTCTGGGATTTCTGGGGTGGGATTTTTGCAATTTTTTGGATTTTTGGGGTGGGATTTTCTGGGATTTTTTGGGATTTCTGGGATTTCTGGGGTGGGATTTTGGGATTTTTTAGGATTTCTGGGGTGGAATTTTGGATTTTTTTGGATTTTTGGGATTTCTGGGATTTCTGGGGTGGGATTTTTGCAATTTTTTCGGATTTTTGGGGTGGGATTTTCTGGGATTTTTGGGGATTTTTGGGATTTCTGGGGTGGGATTTTGGATTTTTTTGGATTTTTTGGGATTTCTGGGATTTCTAAATCCCCAATTTAGGGACGAGGAGCGGCGCGGGGCCGAGAGGAGATCCCTGGGGATTTCTGGGGCAGAATCCATGGATTTTTGGGATTTTTTGGGGCAGAATCCTTGGGATTTTGGGGATTTTTGGGGTGGGATTTTTGGGATTTCTGGGGTGGAATTTTGGGATTTTTTTGGATTTTGGGATTTCTGGGATTTCTAAATCCCAATTTAGGGACGAGGAACGCCTGAGCCGAGAGGAGATTTCTGAGGTAGAATCCATGGATTTTGGGATTTTGGGGTGGGATTTTGGGATCTGTGGGATTTCTGGGTGGGAATTTTGGATTTTTTTGGATTTTTGGGATTTCTGGGATTTCTAAATCCCCAATTTAGGGACGAGGAACGCACATGGGCCGAGAGGAGATTTCTGGGGTAGAATCCATGGATTTTGGGGATTTTTTGGGGCAGAATCCATGGGATTTTGGGGATTTTTGGATTTTTGGGACGGGATTTTTGGGATTTCTGGGATTTTGGGATTTCTGGGATTTCTAGGGTGGGATTTTGATTTTTAGGATTTCTGGGATTTCTAGGGTGGAATTTTGGATTTTCTGGGATTTTTGGGATTTCTGGGATTTCTGAGGTGGGATTTTGGGATTTTTAGGATTTTGGGATTTCTGGGTGAATTTTGAATTTTGGGATTTTGGGATTTCTGGGATTTCTAGGGTGGATTTTGGGATTTTTAGGATTTTGGGATTTCTGGGTGGAATTTTGGATTTTTTGATTTTTGGGATTTCTGGGATTCTAGGGTGGGATTTTAGGATTTTTGGGATTTCTGGGGTGAATTTTGATTTTTTGGATTTTTGGGATTTCTGGGATTTCTGGGGTGGAATTTTGCAATTTTTTCTGGATTTTTGGGGTGGGATTTTCTGGGATTTTTGGGATTTCTGGGATTTCTGGAGTGGGATTTTGGGATTTTTAGGATTTCTGGGGTGGAATTTTGGATTTTTGGGATTTTGGGATTTCTGGGATTTCTGGGGTGGGATTTTGCAATTTTTTGGATTTTTGGGGTGGATTTTCTGGGATTTTTGGGGATTTTTGGGATTTCTGGGGTGGGATTTTGGATTTTTTTGGATTTTTTGGGATTTCTGGGATTTCTAAATCCCCAATTTAGGGACGAGGAGCGGCGCGGGGCCGAGAGGAGATCCCTGGGGATTTCTGGGGCAGAATCCATGGATTTTTGGGATTTTTGGGGGGTGATTTTTGGAATTCCTGGGATTTTTGGGGTGGGATTTTTGTGGATTTTTGGGGTGGGATTTTCTGGGATTTTTGGGATTTCTAAATCCCCAATTTAGGGACGAGGAACACCGCGGAGCCGAGAGTAGATCCCTGGGGATTTCTGGGATTTTTTGGGATTTTTGGGATTTCTGGGGTGGAATTTTGGATTTTTTTGGATTTTTGGAATTTCTGGGATTTCTAGGGTGGATTTTGCAATTTTTCGGATTTTGGGGTGGGATTTTCTGGGATTTTGGGGATTTCTGGGATTTCTGGGGTGGGATTTTAGGATTTTGGGATTTCTGGGGTGGAATTTTGGATTTTGGGATTTTTGGGATTTCTGGGATTTCTAAATCCCCAATTTAGGGACGAGGAGCGGCGCGGGGCCGAGAGGAGATCCCTGGGGATTTCTGGGGTGGGATTTTGGGATTTTTTAGGATTTTTGGGATTTCTGGGGTGGAATTTTGGATTTTTTGGGATTTTTGGGATTTCTGGGATTTCTAAATCCCCAATTTAGGGACGAGGAGCGGCGCGGGGCCGAGCGGCGCCGGGAGGAGAAGGCGAAGAAGAAGCTGGAGCGGAAGACGCGGCGCGAGGAGGAGGAGGAGGAGGAGGAAGGGGGGGAGTGGGAGAAGGTCAAGGGCGGAGTCCCCCTCGTCAAGGTCAGCAAAAAACAACATTTTGGGGCAAAAAACCCAAGTTTTGGCTCAAAATTCTGATTTTGGGGTGAAATTCCTGATTTGGGGTGAAAAATCGGCATTTTTTTAGGGAAATTCTGATTTTTTTCGGTGGAAATGGGGATTTTTTAGGGTGGAAACGCTGGTTTTTAAAGGGGAAAATTCTGATTTTTTTAGGGTGAAAAATTCTGATTTTTTTGGGGTGGAAATCCTGATTTCTTTTTATGAAAATTCTGGGGTTTTTTGGTGAAAATTCTGATTTTTTGGGGGTGAGAATTCTGATTTTTGAGGTAGAAATTCTGATTATGGGGTGAAAACCTCTGATTTTTTTTAGGGTAAAAATTCTGATTTTTGGAGGGGAAAATTCTGATTTTTTTTGTTGGAAATTATGATTTTTTTAGGGTTAAAATTCTGGTTTTTAAAGGGGTGGAAATGCTGATTTTTGGGGTGGAAATGCTGATGTTTTGGGGTGAAAATTCCGATTTTTGGGGGCGAAAATTCTGATTTTTGGGGCAAACGTTCCAAATTTTGGGGCAAAAAACGCAAGTTTTGGCTCAAAAGTCTGATTTTGGGGTGAAAATCCTCATTTTGGGTGAAAAATCGGGATTTTTTTAGGGTCAAAATTGTGATTTTCGGAGTAGAAATTGTGATTTTTTTTTGTTGGAAATGGGGATTTTTTTAGGGTGGAAATGCTGGTTTTTGGAGGGGAAAATTCTGATTTTTTGAGGTGGAAAGATTCTGATTTTTTTGTGAAAGTTCTGATTTTTTTTTGGTGAAAAATTCTGATTCTGGGGGTGAAAATTCTGATTTTTTTAGGGTGAAAATTTGATAATATTTTTGGTGAAAATTCCGGTTTTCGTGAAAATTTTGATTTTTTTGGTGAAAATTCTGATTTTTTGGGGGTGAGAATTCTGATTTTTGAGGTAGAAATTCTGATTATGGGGTGAAAACCTCTGATTCTTTTAGGGTAAAAATTCTGATTTTTGGAGGGGAAAATTCTGATTTTTTTTGTTGGAAATTATGATTTTTTTAGGGTTAAAATTCTGGTTTTTAAAGGGGTGGAAATGCTGATTTTTGGGGTGGAAATGCTGATTTTTTGGGGTGAAAATTCCGATTTTTGGGGGCGAAAATTCTGATTTTTGGGGCAAACGTTCCAAATTTTGGGGCAAAAAACGCAAGTTTTGGCTCAAAAGTCTGATTTTTTTTGATAAAAAACGGGGGTTTTTGGGGGGAAAAGCCGGTGATTTGGTGAAAATCTTGATGTTTGGGGTTTTTTTTGGTGAAAATTCTGATTTTTGGAGAAGGAAAGGGTGATTTTGGGGGTGAAAATTCGGATTTTTGGAGGGGAATTTTTTTGGGGAAAAAATGGTGATTTTGGGTGAAAATTCGGCTTTATTTTATTTGGTTAAGGATTTTGATTTTTTTGGTGAAAAAATCTGATTTTGAGGGTGAGAAATGTGATTTTTTGAGTGAAAATTTGATAAATTTTTTTGGTTAAAAATTTTGGGTTTTTGGTGAAATTTTTTATTTTCTTAGAGGGTGAAAATTCTGATTTTTGGGGTGAAAAATTCTGGTTTATTGGGTGAAAATTCTGATTTTTTAGGGTGAAAATTTGATTTTTTTTTGGTGAAAAATTCTGATTTTTGGGGTGAAAAATTCTGATTTTTTTGGGTGAAAAATTCTGATTTTGGGGTGAAAACCTCTGATTCTTTTAGGGTAAAAATTCTGATTTTTGGAGGGGAAAATTCTGATTTTTTTTGTTGGAAATTATGATTTTTTTAGGGTTAAAATTCTGGTTTTTAAAGGGGTGGAAATGCTGATTTTTTGGGGTGAAAATTCCGATTTTTGGGGGCGAAAATTCCGATTTTTGGGGCAAAAATTCCAATTTTTGGGGCGAAAATTCCGATTTTTGGGGTGGAAAATTCCGATTTTGGAGCAGAAATTGCTGGTTTCTGGATGGAAAATTCTGATTTTTGGGTTAAAAAAAAGGCTTTGCTGGGGTAACCCCTCAATTAGGTAAAAATTCGGATTTTTTGGGGTGAAAATTTGGATTTTGGGGGTGAGAATTCCGATTTTTGGGTGAAAATTTGGATTTTTGGGGTGAAAATTCTGATTTTGGAGCGGAAATTTCTGGTTTCTGGGTAGAAACTTCTGATTTTTGGGGCGAAAATTCTGATTTTTGGGGTGGAAATTCCGATTTTTGGGGCGAGAATTCCGATTTTTGGGGTGGAAATTCCAATTTTTGGGGCGAAAATTCCGATTTTGGGGCAAAAGTCAGGTTTTTAGGGTGAATGAAAATTTCTATTTTAGGGCAAAAATTCGATTTCTGGGCGAAAATTCCGATTTGGGGTGGAATTGCTGATTTTTTGGGGGGAAAATTCCAATTTTTGGGCGTGAAAATTCTGGTTTTTAGGGTAAAAATTCTGATTTTTTGGGGGGTGAAAATTCTGATTTTTTGAGTGAAAAAATCTGATTTTGGGGGTGAAAATTCAGATTTTTGGGGCAGGAAATGCTGATTTTTGGGCGGAAATGCTGATTTTTTTGGTGGAAATGCTGATTTTTGGGGTGGAAATGCTGATTTTTTTAGAGGAAATGCTGATTTTTGGGTGGAAATGCTGATTTTTGGGTGGAAATGCTGATTTTGGGGCAGGAAATGCTGATTTTGGGTGGATTTTGGGTGTTTTTGGGGCAGGAGAAGCCGAAAATGTTCGCGAAGGGCACCGAGATCACCGTGGGGTTGGTGGTGAAGAAACTCAACGAGATCCTCCAGGCTCGGGGCAAGAAGGGCACGGACAGGTGGGGATTTGGGGGAAAAAACGGGGATTTTGGGCAAAAATGGGAAAAATGGGGATTTTGGGGAGAAAAAACCGGGATTTGGGGCAAAACGGGGTGGGGAAAAATGGGGGGAAAATGGGGATTTTGGGCAAAAATAGGGGAAAAAGAAGGGATTTTGAGGGAAAAAATGGGATTTTTGGGGGGAAAAAATCAGAATTTGGGGCAAAAATGGGGGGGTTGGGAAAAAAATGGGGATTTGGAGGGGGAAAATGGGGATTTTAGGGAGAAAAAAGGGGATTTTTGGGAAAAATGGGGGATTTTGGGGAGAAAAAACCGGGATTTGGGGCAAAAACGGGGGGGTTGGGAAAGAAATGGGGGGAAAATGGGGATTTTGGGCAAAAATAGGGGAAAAAGAAGGGATTTTGAGGGAAAAAATGGGATTTTGGGGGAAAAAATCGGAATTTGGGGCAAAAATGGGGGGGTTGGGAAAAAAAATGGGGATTTGGAGGGGGAAAATGGGGATTTTAGGGGGGAAAAAGGGGATTTTTGGGGAAAAATGGAGGAGGAAAAAGGGGATTTTGGGGGGAAAATGGGTTTTTTTTGGAAAAAATGGGGATTTTTGAGGAAAAGTGGGGAAAATGGGGATTTTTGAGGAAAAAATGGGGGGAAAATGGGGATTTTGGGGGGAAAAAGGGATTTTTGGGGCAAAAATGGAGGAGAAAAAAGGGGATTTTGGAGGGAAATGGGGATTTTGGGGTTAAAAAGGCTGATTTTGGTCATTCTTGGGTTAAAAAAAATCAGATTTTGGGGTTAAAACCTCGGATTTTGGGGTTGAAAAGGCCGATTCTGGCCGTTTTTGGTGTGAAAGAAGCCAATTTTGGGGTGAAAAAGGTGGATTTTTGGGTAAAAAAGGCCGGTTCTGGCCATTTTTGGGGTGAAAGAAGCCGATTTTTGGGTGGAAAAAGCGGATTTTTGGTGGTTTTGGGTGCCAGGGCGGCGCAGATCGAGCTGCTGCAGCACCTGGTGTCGGTGGCCCACGAGCACAACCTGGGGGTGCCGCTGGAGCTGAAGATCAAATTCAACATCGTGGCCTCCCTCTACGACTACAACCCCAACCTGGCCGCCTACATGAAGGTACTGGGGGGAAATTGGGGGGAAATTGGGTTTAAATTGGATTTTAATGGGGTTAAATGGGATTAAATTGAAATTAAATGGGGTTAAATTGGATTTAATGGGGTTAAATTGGGTTTAAATGGGGTGAAATTGAATTTAAATTGGATTTAAAGGGGGTTAAACGGGGTGAAAGTGAATTTGAATGGGTGTAAGTTGGGGGTAAATGGGGGTAAATTGGATTTAAATTGGATTTTAATGGGGTTAAATGGGGTTAAATTGGGTTTAATTGGGATTTCCTGGGGCCTCCCTCTACGACTGGAGCCCCAACCTGGCCGCCTACATGAAGGGCTGGGGGGAAATTGGGTTTAAATGGGGTTAAATTGGATTTAAATTGGATTTTAGTGGGGGTAAATGGGAGTAAAATTGGTTTTAAATGGGGTAAATTGGATTTAAATGGGGAAATTGGGGTTAAATGGGGGTAAATTGGTTTTAAATGGGGGTAAATTGGATTTAAATGGGGGAAAATTGGGGTTAAATGGGGGTAAATTGGATTTAATTGGGGGTAAATTGAATTTAAAGGGGGTTAAATTGGATTTAAATGGGGGTAAATTGGGTTTAAAGGGGGTAAATTGGATTTTAATGGGGGTAAATTGGGTTTAAATGAGGAGAAATTGAATTTAAATTGTATTTTAATGGGGTTAAATGGGGGTAAATTGGACTTAAATGGGGTGAAATTGAACTTAAATTGGATTTCAGTGGGGGTAAATGGAGTAAATTAAGTTTAAGGGGGTTAAATGGGGGTAAATTGGATTTAAATGGGGTTAAATTGGGTTTAATTGGGATTTCCTGGGGCCTCCATCTCACTGGAGCCCCAACCTGGCCGCCTACATGAAGGTACTGGGGGGAAATGGGGGGTAAATGGGGGTAAATTGGATTTAAATGGGGGTAAATTGGATTTAAATGGGGGAAATTGGGGTTAAATGGGGGTAAATTGGATTTAAATAGGGGTAAATTGGGTTTAAATGGGGGTAAATTGGGGTTAAATGGGGGTAAATTGGTTTTAAATGGGGGTAAATTGGATTTAAATGGGGGAAAATTGGGGTTAAATGGGGGTAAATTGGATTTAATTGGGGGTAAATTGAATTTAAAGGGGGTTAAATTGGATTTAAATGGGGGTAAATTGGGTTTAAAGGGGGTAAATTGGATTTTAATGGGGGTAAATTGGGTTTAAATGAGGAGAAATTGAATTTAAATTGTATTTTAATGGGGTTAAATGGGGGTAAATTGGACTTAAATGGGGTGA